CGGCTTTTTTCTTTTTGCTTATGTGGTACTGAGGAATGGAACCCAGGGCCTCAGGCATGCAAGGCAAGCGCTCTACCACTGAGCCACCTTCCCAGCCCTCCATGAAATTCTTTTTTTTGGGGGTGGGGGGAAGGTCCGGTTGTGGGGCTTGAACTCTGGGCCTGGGCACTGTCCCTCAGCTCTTCAGCTCAGGGCTAGCGCTTTACCACTTGAGCCACAGCGCCACTTCCAGCTTTTTTCTTTTTGCTTATGTGGTGCTGAGGAATGGAACCCAGGGCCTCAGGCATGCAAGGCAAGTGCTCTACCACTGAGCCACCTTCCCAGCCTTCCCAGTGGTTCTGTGGCTCAAGTATAGAGCACTAGCTTTGAGCAAAAGAAACTTAGGGACAGAACCCAGGTCTTGAGTTCAAGCCCCAGGACTGGCACAGAACAAAATCACACCAAAGAAGAGACCCAGGGAAGCACTGTGGTTCACACCAGTTATTCCAGGTACTGGGAGGCATAGATGGAATTGTGGTGCAAGGCAAGTACAGGGAAAAATTTGCTAAGGCCTTATTTGAAAGAACAAGCTGAGCATGGTGGTACACATGTGTAATGCCATTTATGTGGAAAGCATAGGTAGGAGGTTTATGGTCTGAGGCTAATAGGCAAAAAGCATGTGACCTTACCTAGAAAATAAAAGCAAAAGGCATGGAGTCATGACTTTAGCAGAATTCTTGCCTAGCAAGGGCGAGGCTCTGAGTTCAAACCCTCTCAAAACTGCAAATAAAAGAATATTGATAAAAGAAAGCAAGGACAGTAAAGAAAAGGGGAAACGGGGTGCCAATGGCTTATGCCTGTAATCCTAGCTTCTTAGGAGGCTGAGATCTAAGGATCATGGTTCGAAGCCAGCAGGCAGGAAAGTCCATAACATAAGACTCTTATCTCCAATAAACTAGTCAAAAAAGCCGCTGTGGCACTGTGGCTCTAGTGGTAGAGTGCTAGCCTTGAGCAAAAAGAAGCTCAGGGACAGAGCCTAGGCCCATAGTTCAATCCCTAGGACTGGCAAAAAAAAAAAAAGTGCAGTGGAAGGGGAAAAGACAAAAAGATTTTGAAGGAATATCCCAACATAGCTTTGATAAGATAAAAGGAATTGTGGCCCCTACTGTAGCTTAGCCTTAGTGGTTGGTCCTTGATTTTGCTTGGAGTAGGGAGTCAGGGTATGGCCTTGTATTGCTTAGGTAAAAATATAAATAGAAGCCAGGTGCCAGTGGCTCACGTCTCTAATCCTGGCTACTCAGGAGGCTTAGATCTGAGGGTCCAGGTTTAAATCCACGCCAGGCAGGAAAGTTTGTGAAACTCTTGAATAAACTACCAGAAAACCGGAAGTGGTGCTGTGGGCTCAAGTTGTAGAGCACTTGTCTTGAGCTGAAAAGCTCAGGTACAGCACCCAGGCCCAGAGTTCAAGCCCCAGGACTCACACACACACATATACACACACAAATTTGTTGGAAGTAGGTTAAGAGTCACTCTTCACATTCTCTATTCTATCTCCATTCTCTGAAAAACCTTTCCTGGCCGTAGGGAAAATCTGCCAATAGCACAAACTTTGTTCAGTTCTTTAAATTTTAGAGAAACAAGATAGACAACCACTAAAAAAGAAATATAAGTCAAGAGAAAAAGCCAGAAAAGGCAATATGTGAATAGGTGGCCTGCCCAACCCTGTTTGGTCTGAAGTGAGGGTTGATATGGTGCTGGAGGAAGAGCAGCAATTGCCCCCCCTTCACCTCAATTTTCCCATATTGTTACTATCCCTGTAGAAAAATGGTCACCCCATATCTAAATTCTGTGGTTTTCTTCCATGACTCATGCTTTGACTGTTTGAGATGTATACTTGTTCCTCTTCTTTGTCTCTTCCCAACTCAAAAGTAAGCCTTTGGTAACAGGATGGGAATTACTTCTAGGTCACAGTCCCTGAGCCAGGGAAGGAAGCAGTGTTCTTGGGAAAAACAGCAGAAGCCCCAGGCTTCAAGCTGAAGGCAGCAGAGGCTCCACCAGAGGGACTGTCCCAGGAGGAAGAATTTTGGAATACATACCAGGGTCTGCAAAAACATCAGAGCAAGAATACTCATAAGGAAGCCAAGACTGTATATGAGAGGGGTAAGGAGCCTAATAATTTCTTAGAACTATTAGCAGTTTGTTCATCCTAAATGTCATGGGCATTTTTTTTGTTTTGTTTTGGGTCCGATTGTGGGGCCTGAACTCTGGGCCTGGGCGCTGTCCCTCAGCTCTTCAGCTCAAGGCTAGCGCTCTACCACTGGAGCCACAGCACCACTTCCAGTTTTCTGGTGGTTTATTGGAGATAGGAGTCTCACAGTCTTTCCTGCCCGGGCTGGCTTTGAACCGAGATCCTCAGATCTCAGCCTCCTGAGTAGCTAGGATTACAGGCGTGAGCCACCAGCGCCCGGCTTAGTCTTGTTTCTTAACTAGATGAAGGTTACCTAAGATATTCCATCATTTCTTTTTTCTCTCTTTCTTTTCTTAAAGAATGAGGACCTCGGGCTGGGAAGGTGGCTCAGTGGTAGAATGCTTGCCTTGCATGCATGAGGCACCTGAGCACCACATAAGCAGAAAAAGCCGGAACTGGGGCTGTGGCTCAAGTGGTAGAGTGTTAGCCTTTAGCTGAAGAGCTGAGGGACAGTGCCCAGGCCTCATGACTGACAAAAAAAAAAAGAATCAGGAGCTATATTGTACAAAAATGACCTCAGAATGCTTATAAAAGAAATTTCCTCTGGCTTTTTCTTACCCACAGCTGTGCCTGCTCAACAGATTCTAGTCTTTCCTGAGCAAACTAACACCAAAGACTGGACAGTGGCGCCTAAGCTCATCTTGCCTGAATCCCAGGTGAGCTGTGATTTCCACCTGTTCAGAGCTGCCTTTCCTTGCTGCCCATGAATCCTACTGCCCAGGAGGGCCTTAGAGGCACCTTCTTGCTTGGGAATTGGGTATCTGCTAGGCTGTTAGGTGATCCTTTGGCTCCTTTCTGCATTCTCATTTTAAAAAATATTACAGTCATGTAATGATGAGGATGCTTTCTGAGAAATGTATTACTATAAATCAGTTGCTTAATGAGGCCTCAATAAAAAAATGAATATATGAATCAACTTATTTCTAACTACTGTGTAATGTATATAACTATACACTAATAATTGCAGCAGTATCACATGAGAAGTACATAGCAGTATAACTTCACAAAACAGTAGAAATTGTCCAAATCCACTATAATCTTATAGGACCACTGAACATATGGAGCCTGTTGTTGACCAAAGTACCATTATATATGTCAAATATTGTTAATTCCTTTAATATGTGGCTTACCACACATTTTTAGCCAGGTAATTAGGAAGCTTCTGTAGTGATAAGTACCAAGCTAAAAATCCATTCTCTTCTCTAGAGCTTGTTGGCATTTGATGACGTGGCCATGTATTTTTCTCAGGAAGAATGGGAGTTATTGAATCCCACTCAGAAGAGTCTCTACAATGATGTGATGCAGGAAAACTATAATACTGTCATCTCTCTAGGTAATGATCCACTCTCCCTTTGTGTAGAAGTTTGAGTGAAATCCTGTCTTATTCTTCTCTTTTTTT